CTGAACTTTACAATGGTTCTTGTTAATCTGAAAAACTTTGCCAAATACAGCAAACTTTTATCTAATCGACCTGTCATGTTAAAGCTATAAATTAAGAGTCAAGCGGTATACTAGCACATCTGGTGAAAATGAATTCTAAACTGTCATCAAATAGGGCTTACCCATCAAAACAGCAGACAGCAACCTTCTAGCTAGTTAGGTTTATGCTAGTTAGGTTTAAGCAGTTTTGTATCCAGTTTACATAACATTCCCCCTTTTGGGCATATTGTGATTGAATTGATAATTTTTGATAACCTACCTAACTGTAAATAACTTTACCTAACGTGCCAGATTCCTGGTGATCTGTTGATCGGATCAGCCACAGCAATCTCTGGAAAAGCGTTCTTCGCTCCTTCAGTGACCAGTCGAGTCCGTGGAGGACTGATCAGGATCATCCTAAGGGTCTTGTTCTGGACCCTTTTCAGTTTAAGGTGATTGAATTTAGCACTAGAAAATCATGCGGTACACTAGTGTCGCCTGGTACGGAAATTTTCAACTTAATTGTCCACCATCCAATAGGTCTAAAAAATCTGAATAACTTTTCCAAAAAGAGCAACCTTCTAGCTAGTTGAGCTGCCAAGTTAAAGCAATTAATTGGAAGCCACCCTTAGCAAGACCATAAAGTAAAGGCACAGCAATACCATGCTGGAGGTGCCTGGGTTCGATTCCCGGTCCAGTCTAGGAGTTTTTCGGGTTGGTAAATTTCTCGACTTCCCTGGGCATAGAGTATTATTGTGCTTGCCACACATTATACTAATGCAAAAATGGTTCAGGCATCGAAAGCCCTCAATTAATAACTGTGGAAGTGCATCTAGAACACTAAGTTGAGAGCACGCCATAAGCTAAATATGCCATAAGCAATAAGCTTGAAATGCGAAGAAGAAGAAGAAGGAGACGGAAGTCGAATTATACCTGGTGTGAACGTTCTGAAGTGAGCTGTCCACTAAACAAAAGATCTTATTCATCTGAACAACTTTACGGAAGACAGCAACCTTCGATCTAGTCTAGATGCCAAGTTAAGCAAGTATTTTTAAAACATATGGCTCTTCAGAATTTCCTATGAGTTTTCACTAAAACTCACTTTGCATTCAATTCAGGGTTTTCTTGAAAATGAAATTCTAAAATTCCTCAGATTTACCTTGATAGCAGATTGCACTTGAAGTTTTTCTCAAATATGTTGTCCCAGAACTCCCTTGGAATGAGGTGCTTAGAAATGTTAATATAATTCCATGAGCTTTTAAAACTGTGCAACAAATTTTACACCAGATTCTTGAACATTTTTTTGGGCTTCCAAAAAGGTTTGGAACTTGGGTCTAATTTCGAAACAATATTTTCAAAAGTTTTGTTCGTCAGGACAGAGAATCACTTTTTAGTTTGTTTTTTTGCAAATCCCACCAGATAACTTCCATGGCAGGATTGCGCGTTCTTTGATATTGCCTCCTACGGACATTTTTCAGACGGATCAAGAGCTGAAGATCGTCGTCTATTATAATTGAATCGAATTTAACATCGCATATTGGTACTGAGGTAGCTCTTGCTTCAACTATAGAAGTAGTCAGAGATTCAAGAGCATAATTAATTTCATCTTTGGTTTGCAAAGGAATGTTTGGATCGAAGTTATATTCCATAAATGTTCGATATTGCTCCCAATCAGCTCTATGGTAATTGAAAATAGAGCTGTTGGGATTAGAAATTATTTCTTGGGATATTTCAAAAGTTGCTGAAAGGTGATCAGTCCTGAAGTTAGCATGGGTAACAAATTGGTTACAAAGTTAGCATGAATCAGTTAAGACCAAATCAATAGTTGAGGGATTTTTTGCTGAAGAAAAGCATGTTGGGCTGTTTGGATCTTGAATAGTGTAATAACCTGCAGAAAGCCTCAAAGCCTCTCAACCCAGTCGTGCTTGCTGGTTCCTGTCATCGTAGTCGTTCTGGCCCTGTGGATGAGAATGGTGGCGGGGTCTTCCAAGCTCTCAATTCAGGCAAGTTAAGGAATGATCTCAACAATTCCCCGCCTGATTTCTTTACGAGTTTCAGCACTACACCTCGTATTCCCAATCAAGTACCAAGTACCAATCAGATACCAATCCTGGATGTTACGAACGAAGCCTTCAACACTCCTGTAATGACGTCGCAATACCTGTTGTTCAAGATGTTTTGCCTAAAACGCCTGCCAATGTTTTCGCTGCTCAGCTTTCGGAATCGATCTTAGCAGAATGGAAGCCCCTAATCCTGTCATCACAGTCGAGCCTAACCTGCCAGCGACCTTCAGCCGTCCCGGCCCTATGTATGATTTTGGAGGGTCTTCCAAACTGCCTGCGCAGGCAAGTACAATCACGTTTTGAACACTATCCGCACTGATAACCTTCATTATCACAGTACCATCACATCCAATGCAACACAGTCACCGACACCACGCCTTCCGGGACGCACAACGCAAAGTATTTTGGAAGCGTCCAAGCCCTCCTTCACAGTCGTGACCGTCCAGCCTGCGTTCAACAGCCGTCCCGGTCCTGTGATAGGATCTGGTGAGGGAGGCTTCCAGCTTGTGCAATCAGGCAATTCATCCATCGGTAGTCAACCATCGTCACTAGCCGAACAACGTACTTCTGCGCTTCAATCTGGATCACCTGGTGAACTGCTGATCTACTATCAAAACGTTCGTGGGTTACGTACGAAGATTGATGAATTTTTCCTGGCTGCTCTCGAGTGCAACTATGATGCTGTGGTGCTTACCGAAACGTGGCTTGACGGTCGAATCAACTCATCGCAACTTTTCGGCAGCTTATTCACAGTATTTCGCAATGATCGTAGCCGTCTAAACAGCACTAAATCTCGTGGAGGTGGTGTACTCATAGCTGTTGCAAAGCGCTTGAAAGGCTGTCTCGACCCTACACCGATCACTGCTTCGCTAGAGCAACTGTGGGTTAAGATCAAAACTACGAGCAAAACAGTTAGCGTGGGCGTTATTTACTTACCACCGGACCGAAAGTCTGACCTAAACTGCATTGAAAACCACGTCAACTCAATTGGCGCAGTGTTATCTCGATTGGACAACAATGACTTGGCTCTGCTACTCGGTGATTACAACCAATCTGGCTTGATTTGGAATACAGACACGAACAATCAGCTGCCAACTGTTCTTCGTTCAAGTATATCTGCATCATGTGGCACTCTACTTGATGGTTTCAACCTGCATGGCTTAGCGCAAATCAACACCGTTTTAAATAGGAATGCTCGACTGCTTGACCTTGTACTGGCGAACGAGCTCGCTCTCCCGGAATGCTCAGTATCTGAAGCTGCAGATCCTTTGATGAGCCTTGATGCCGATCACCACGCGTTGGAAACATCCATCAGCCTTCATGCTCCCATCAGCTTTGAACCCACCGAAGATGTGCTAGGTCTTGATTTCCGCAAAGCAGACTTTCTTGCACTGACTCATGCGCTTGACCAAGTCGATTGGCAAATGCTTGAGCAATCACCCAGCGTCGACGAGGCTGTCGAAAATTCCATTGGGATTGTCAACCGCTTAATCACTACTTGTGTACCATTACGAAGACCTGTCAAACACGCACCGCTCTCACAAAACGATGGTTCTCTCGAGCTAGCAACAACTATCGGAAGTATAATCGGTTTCTCTACAAACGGTATACTAGGCGAATGCAGCACAACCTTCGCACCAACCCTAAATTGTTTTGGTCGTTTGTCAACACTAAGAGAAACGAAGTTGGCCTTCCTACGGAAATCTCTCTTGGAGAGAGACATGCGCGCACTCCATTCGAGAAATGTAACCTTCTGGCAGAACACTTCAGACACGCCTTCAACTACACAACTGCCTCAGCGGATCAAGTGAACGAGGCAACCAGAGACACGCCAAATGATGTGTTTCCTTTCGACATCTTTGAGATATCCGAGGAGCTAGTGGAGTCTGCAATTAACAAGACGAAACATTCGATTGCTGCTGGTCCTGATGGGATCCCCGGATGTATCCTGAAGAAATGTTCCTCCGCACTTACTAAGCCATTAAGGAAGTTGTTCAACCTTTCACTGCAGCAAGGTGAATTCCCTAGGAGTTGGAAATCCTCCTTTATGTTCCCAGTATTCAAGAAAGGAGAAAAGCGCAAAATTGAAAACTATCGCGGAATCACTTCACTCTGTGCCTGCTCTAAAGTGTTTTAAATAATCATTAATGACGCCCTATTTGCAAGCTGCTGTAGCTATATTTCTCCGGACCAGCATGGGTTCTACTCTAAGAGATCTGTCTCTACAAATCTAGCACCATTCGTATCCTCCTGCCTTCAGAATATGGAAGCAGGAGCACAAACAGATGTCGTCTATACGGCTATACGTCTATGAAGGCTGCTTTTGATCGAGTTGATCATGCTATCCTGCTAGCTAAACTGGATAAGCTTGGTGTGTCACAGGGCTTCATTCGTTGGTTCAAGTCTTACTTGACAAATCGAGAGCTCAGCGTGAAAATCGGAACAGCACAATCAAACTCTTCCACCAATAATACATCCGGTGTCCGTCAAGGCAGCAACTTAGGACCGTTGCTATTTTCAAATTTCATTAAGACAACACAAAGTCAAATGAGAAATATTAAATAAATAAATAATAACAATCATCAAACCGAGTATTACCATTGAAATTGCTTTGAGCATTATTCCATGAGCGGTGTTTTGCATTAAAATCACCAAATGAAGAATTTAGACCTATGACGGGTAAGTTTCTGAATGTCACCCTTGAGAAAATTCTTTTGCTGGCCTACGTATTGGAACGGCAAATAGGCACTTATAAACGTAAGTCTTACAAGTTCGGAATAAATTTTCTCATTTTTAAACTTTTACCTAACAGTTCCACTATTCAAAACCCCAGTTTAACATTGCTTTTTTGTGTATATTCTCGAAAAAATCAGCTTTTTAATAACTCCTTGCTTTTTTTCGTTTCATCCACAGGTGCCCTCTCCCTGCGATCCCACAGAAATTGGCCATCAGTGTTGCTAAATCCCGGCAATAAAGTCAACAGCAAGTGAAATTTGTGATCGATTTGTGATTGAAATCCGCAGTGCCGTGTGCGAAATTTCACCGTCTTTCTTTATCTCTCTCTCTTCCAAAATGTGATATCCCACGGGAAAACCGAAGAAGATTCAAATCAATAAGAAGAAAAAAAAATCAATCCAAAAACCTCCATTGGCATGCCCCTTGAAAATGCTCCCCCCGAGAAGCACCTCCGCAGAAGTGTGACCATCCATCTGTCGCCACATTCACGGCTGCTGTGAATGCTTCCGAAGCGCAAACGTAAACGCTACCGCCGCATCAACTCTAGTCATCCACCGCCGGCAAAGGCTTCAAACTGGAGCTTCTACAGCGAGTCATGTTCCTGCTGGGGTGGACCCTGGTCCTCGGGCTAGTGGAAACCACCAGCCCCCTCAGCGTGGTCCACCATCCCCAGCAGCAGCAGCAGCAGCAGCAAAAGCAGCAATCGCAATCTTCCGGGCTCGGTAGTCCCGAGGGGCTGATCATCGAGGATTCGCCGATCGCCCCCTCGTCGCAGTACATCGTCCAGAAGGACGTCTGGAACGGAGGAAGTGCCAGCAGTAGCAATCGTCACCTTCACCATCACAATAGTCAACAGTCCCCGCACTCATCATCCTCTAGTGGTAGTGATAGTGCCCCTAGCGATGTCCCCCATCGATCCCCCCTGATTCCCGGCGGTAGAAGTAACGATACTTTCCGTTCTTTCATCCCAGGAACGGGAGGCGGAGGTAACGGAGGATCGTCAGGTGGTTCGCACGGTGGTGGTGGTGGTGGTGGTGGAGGTGGTTTCAGCAGCTTCTTCGGCTTGAGCGGCGGCGGTGAGTGGACACTGATGGATTGCTTCTCGCTGCGGAGAACCCACCATCTGTACTACCAAATCGGCAGTGGGTTGTTCTTCTTGGCCTTCCTGGCCCCGAATGCCCCCTTCGGGATGCTGTGGCTGCGGTGTATGGTCATTGCCGGGAGCGTGCTGCTCATCATCTGGGGCTGGCAGGTCGAGTGCACGATGGACGCCGTCATCTGGGCCAGCTTGTTCCTGATCATCAATGCGATCTACGTGGGGGCGCTGCTGTGCAAGCTGCGGCCGGTCAAGTTCGAGAAGGAGATCGAAGCGGTGAGTTTTTTTTTCGATGTTTGTTTTCATTTTCAAGCTTCAATTCCAACCAAAATTGTATCACCTTCAACGTCCAATAAACCTTGTATGAGTACTAATTCAGCACCCGTCCAAAATTAGGCCTCAATCGACTTTGGCTTATTCATTATTGAACGCCTCTTTAATCCACCGGTAGTGCTAGCAAATGAGTAGAAAATTCACAAGAAAGTCGTAGGCCAAGCTCCTTAAGCTCATTCATTCATCAACAACCGTTTTGCGCCACCCACCACCGGCCGTTGTCTCGGAAAGAAGTTTTCCACCACCAGAAAGGAAGCAGCATCGGCAGATGAATTGAATTATGGAGCACATTGCTTGCGAACTGCAAGGGTGCTTCCAAGTAAAAGGAGAATTATGAACAAGACCACACGGAAGTTGGCAATTATCGCTCAATTATTTCTGTTTTTCTTCGATAGAAAAAAAAAACACAGAGATCGCAAGACAACGATAGCAATGAGCAACAATGTTTTCTTATTAAGGCATTCAATTGTTTCGGCATTCTGGTTGCCAGCGTTTTTTTTTTGTTTTCTGCTTCCAAATAATAAATCATTTGCTTATGTTCTTGATTGCTGGAGCGACGTACGCTCCCATCCTGAAGAGACGACGGGAAGAATTTGCCTGATCTCAATCGCTTGTTGGACGTTGGTTCAATTAGACTAACAAATCGTGCTGCAACAGTTCTCCTCGATAGCTCTATATGATAGGTATATGCCTTTGAACTTGGTAGTCAACGAATGACGGAACGCCCGCTGAATGAATACAATGAGCGGGAAACTCCCACGGGTTTTTTTTTTCCTCCATCCGAATTGAATAAAAACAACAAATTTAGATCATTTCCACCTACTTTGGCAGGTATTATGACCGAAAATAAAACTGGAAAATAAAGTGCTTCGCAAAACTGACTGCGACAAAGTTGTGGCGTGTCGAGCGACGAAGAAACGGAGCAGTCAAGCTGTGTCGATGAACTCTTTTTTTTTTTTTTTTAGCAAATCCGGTAATGAATGGCTTCCGTTCGTTTTGGGAGAGTTCTGCGGGCTTAACGGACAGCAATCGGCAGCCATTTATTAAATTAGATTAACCCTAAATATAGTTTAGAGCAGGAGCGGTGGGTGGCCTGGTGTCCTTGAATGGGTCGCAGGAACTCAGGCAGCTTGGTCATCTGGGAGAAAAATTGCTGAGAGAGGTGCTTTAGGCAGGGAAGATCGACGGGGCGAGGAATATTTTGGACGAGAAGGGACTGATAATAGGGAAGGGAATCGATTTCTTGAAGATGGCGATTGACGAGAAGCGCTTTACACTTAATCGCTGGCAGTTGCAGTTTTAGTCCTCCATGTTCTTTTCTGCGTGCCAGCTGCTGCATTGGAACACGTGCTGCCAACCCTCGAAACAGGAAAGTCCCCATCGCCGCTGTCAGCTTCAGCGTTGCCAGATAGTTTTAAATCTTATCGGTATCAAAGTTATATAAAAATCGGTATTTATCGGTATTTACTATTTATTTAATTTTATATTTTTGCCGTTTTTTTAAGGGAAAATTTTAACGATGGGAATTGCTTTGTTTGACTGACGGCTTTCTCAGTCTTAAAATATCATTAAATGAAACCAAAATATGGAAAATCAGCCTTAACTATTGACAATAACGACAAACAATATTTTCCCTTAAAAAAAGTCACAATCTATGGCCGAAATGTTGGGCAGAGTACATTGTAGTCGTTGCAGTGAGAAAGCCGTTAATCAAAGCAAAATTGTAGCTATAATCTATGTGACTATGATCGGAAAATTCCGGAAGAAAACTCCGGGAAATGTTTGAATAAGCTTCTGAATGGAGCTGAAAAAACATCCAGAGAAAGACGAAAGAAGCTCTCCTGGATGAAGTTCGAGACAAGCTGGAAAAACCTCCGGGAAACTTCCAAGACACGAATTGATAGACTTGTGGCGAAAATTTAAATAAACTATCGGAAAAAAACGGATTTCAATCCAAAGGAAGACAGAAGAGATTCGGAAATCGGAAGTAAATTTCCAGAAGTAGCCAATTCCAGGGAAAGCCAGAAGAAGCTCGGAAAAACCTTCCAATAGAAGTCGAACAAAAAATGGTCAAACTTCCAGAAGAAGACGAAAAAAATTTCTGGTAGAATTAATTGAACTTCCTTGAGAAGACGAAATAAACTTCCTGGAGACGCTGCCAGAAACTTCCTAAGGTAGATTGGAAGAAACATCTGAAGAAAATCGGACACCAGAGCGTTCCGTAAGCGACATACTTCCGGAAGTAAGAGATTCCTGGGGGATGTTCTAATGATCCAGAAAATTTTCCTGATATTCAAAAAACATTCCTGAAGACTCCGAATTTTATCTGAAGTTTTCGGAACGTTCCTAAAATGCACTTAGGAATATTCCATAATTCCTCAAAATTCCTTAAAAGTTCTTGTAATTTCCCTGAAATTAAAGGCTGTTTAGGAGTTCTCTGGTCATCCTTGAAGCGCTCTGAACTTCTTTGATTATAATAAGACTACTGGAATATCTCTAATCATCTTAGAAGGCCTCTGTACTTTCTTGAAGATTACGAAATCTCTTAAGTGCTCGCACAATTTTCTTGAATTTATTGTAACTTCAGCATTGAAGTTCTCTGATCGTCCCGATTTTTTTTTTATTTTTAAAAGTTATCGACACTGCCATTAAAAAGCATAGAACTTCCCATAAAATGTTCTCACAATGATCTAATGTTAATGTAACTTCCCTTACGTTTCCTAAATTAGCATGGACATTGCTGAAGTTTTCGGAAATTGCCTGAGTTTCTCGGAACTTCTTTGTTATTTCAGCAATTTCATTGAAATTAATGGGTTTGCCCTGATGTTCTCTGTGCTTCACTAAAGTTCCTGAAAGCCATTAAATTTCCCAGAAGTTCTTTGGACTTGTGAAGTTTCCAAAATATTTTTAAAGAGACATCTTTAAGTTCACTGGAGTTCACTGGACTTTTCTGAAATTTCCGGGTTTTCGAATTTTAACAGAAATTAATGAAACTATCTTTAATTTATCGAAACTTACACAAAAGTCTGGACTTTTCTGAAGTTTCAGAACTTCTTAAATGTGCCTGCCGCTAGTGTGGATCCACAATAAAAATCTGAAAGCATCCTTGAAGCTTCGGGAAAGTTTAAAAAACTGGCGGGAGAAGATGAAAGAATCATTCGAGCGAAGGCTGAAGAAGCTTCCAAGGTAAGGTGGAAGAAAATTCCAGAGAAAGTTGGATGAAACTTCAGGAAGTTTAAAAATGAATAAAAACTTCTTCAAGTTAAGTAATTTTTAAAATATATTTCTCGATTCCCTAGGAATTACCGGAAAGAGCCATCGACTATTTCTCGATTGATGGGTAGCCAAAAACGGTGAGGAAATGCAAACATTAATCGAAAGAGTATCAAGCATGAGGCATCTTTAGAGACGATATAAAAAAATATGAAGTATTCTCAAAAATTTACTTCGAAATTCAAGCGTGGCAGGCAATAATAATTTTGAGTATTTAAAAAAAAACGGTATAAATCGGTATACAATCTTCAAAATCGGTATTCTGAGGAACCTTATCTGTATATCGGTATCTAGTTTAGAAATCGGTATAAATACCGATAAATCGGTATATCTGGCAACGCTGGTCAGCTTTTCCGTGCACACGCTCGTCTGATTTTACTCTAAAGTGAGTAACTTTTACTCAATTTCGTATTTGTGCGCTAAATGTCAAAAACTGAGCAACATCAATTTAGCAAAGTGAGTAACCTTTACTTTAATTAAATAAATATGGAACTTTACTGTTTTGAATTAGATCAAATGTAATAAACGTCTTAGCCCGGAGTTGAAAGTCAATTCCCGATAAATTCCCACAAAGTGTTGAAAGGATGAAAGATTCTACTATCAGTGAAACTGGACGGACTAGTAACTGGCGTAAGTAGCAATTGGTGTTTTTCTTCTGAGATAAGCTTGATATAAGTCAAAATTTACACAGGTCACGTTTTCTGAACTTCTGGTTGCGATCTTCAGATTCCCAGGTTCAATCCTAAGGAAAGTTCACTATTATAGAATTGTAAGTAAGTTTTATAAGAAAATCGGAAAATAGCAATATATTCAAAAAGTATTTCATTTTCAGAAACAAAAAGATGAGAAACTGATCCGTATGTTGCCCTAATTTATCCCAGAGATGAACAATGTGTTAATTCCCGCATCGAAAATAGCAATTTGCAACTAAACTATTTAGTGTAGCATTTTGATGTCTGCTAGAATATTTTTTCAATTTTGAAAGACTTTATTGCAGTGGTGAAATGTTTTGCTTAAGAGGTGTGTACACATTAAGATTATTTCACCGAAATCTGTGAAATTTTACCGAAATCTGTGAAATTTTACCGAAATCTCAACAGCTAAACGTTCGGTAAACAGTTCGGTGATTTTTCACAGATTTCCTGTAACTTTTCACCGAATATCTGTGAAAAATTACAGGAAATCTGTGAAAAATCACCGAACGGTTTACCGAACGTTCAGCTGTTGAGATTTCGGTGAAATTTCACAGATTTCGGTCAAATATTCTAAGTGTGTACACTACTTACACACTAAGGTGTGTAAAAAAATATTTCTTGTTAAAATTGACGATCGTCTATCGAAACATTGCAGATGAAGTCATTTTCAGATACTTTGTCGAACACGTACATTTTCCATCTCTCCAGTGGACAAAGTTATAGGGTGAAAATGGAGTACAAACGGTAGTACCCCCTTAAAAACCGTTTTGACGTAGACTACATCTTACGGGAAGATACTGGGAGATCGGATATCTAAAATTGCGACCGTCACGAAAAGGTGTAAGTTTTTTAACGCTTATAACTTTATCATTTATATACGAAATTAAAATCCAAATACACCAATCGATAGGAAATAACTGCACAACCTGTTACAATAAATGCTTTTCTAATTCTCTAAAAAAAAAAAAAAACCGT